TTTTGCTTTTTATAAATGGCTTCTTTTCCATAGGCTTTTCAGTAGTTACTTGTGCTGAAAAATATACACTGTCCATAACAAACGTTTTTGTTGAATCCAATTATATGAATAAAATAATATTTGAGCAGAATCTGCAGAACCTACTGTAATATAGAAAGAAACTTCTACAGAACTAAACAGATTACCCAGAACTAGCACAGAAGAATTATAGAACAGTCTTGAAAGACAGAACATTTCAGCTCCAAATCTATCAAAAAAGTGCTTGTTTTCTTAAATGCACTCATTACTACAAAGCACATACCAATAAGAAGAACTAGAATAAAAATTAAATAATTCAAATAAATGAACGGATTAGATTAGATTCAGTATGGCCACAATTGCATAATTCAGCAAGGATACAATCATCTGGAAAAAGTTATCACCAGCTAAGCAAGTATCTGAATGTACAGCACCTCAGCTGGTTATTTACAGACAAGCTGCTGTTCCGTGGTAAGAAACATCCCATTATTTATGAGGTGAAGCCAGACATGTAGGAAATTACCAGGGAACACCTAGAAAATCCATACTGCATTTTATTCATGAGGTCTACTTTATATGCTGATAACTTACCACGTATTTTGGAAACAAAAGCTCCTAATTTAAACAAACTTCTTCTCAAAAGCAGCTGTAGTTCTGGATGCATGAGCACGTTACTATAATGAACCTCTGTCTGCTCTGAGGGAAGGGGTGTATGAACAACAGACTCAACAGTCAGAGTTGAGTCAGCCAAAAACCACGCGTGTTCTTTGCACACACTGCGTTAGCAAACTGTGTAAACACCACAGCGACCCCTATTTATTTCTCCAGTGACCTGCTTAAGGGAGCAGATCAAACATTTTAGAACTAATTGTACAGCACCATAAAGAGGAGAAATGCAGGCTAAATTCTAGTGACTAAACCATGCCTCAATATAGACATATACTAGTTCACATAAAAGTAGATAGATACCTGATCTGCACATGTGGATTGAGGCTGACATCGTCAGAGACCCAGCATCTTTGAAGACATATAAACATACCTTTAAATCAAGCTAGAAAAGTCACTTGTCAGCAACCAGTATTAAGGTAACTTGAAAACCCGTGAAAAAACAGCAGAGTGACTCTGTGCAGGAATGCTTGTATGTGACTGCATCAAAATGTTGTTTGATGCAGGCTAAAGAAAGGTCAACACAAGGCCTTGAAACATAAATATGCAGAAAGCAACTATTTGCCTTTTAATAAAAGTCCCCATAAAAATAGTTATTTTCCTCCAAAACTAGTGTCACTGCTGAAGAAGAAATAACCCCAAGACAGTACAACAGGGCTCAGGCTTGCTCAGGCAACAAAACCATGACAGAAATTCCTGCTGAGTTCAACAGGGCTCCAGCTTCACTTGTGCCTCTACCTCAAGCCTGCATCACTGGGCATCTCTCTGGGCTACAACTTGAAAATATTTGAATGCTGAAGCAAAAGCAGTAGCCTGATTTGTGACCAGAATGCCTTACTGCAGCAAACTCTTGCCTACTTCCTGAAGCCACTCTGCCGGCATGAGAGCTTCCAGCTTCCAACCTCTCTGTGAGGAGCCTCTTCCCCATTTCTGATGTAGTGAAAAAATAAAGTGCTGCAGAATGCCAGCACTAACTCACCCTCAGTTTACAGGCTGGGAGAAGGGTGGAGATACATAAATACACTAAACTACAGGTTTATTTCCATTACAGTGGACAGTGAATTGTTAGAGGGTGCACCTATAAACCTTACAATTTCCTTTACAGAACCATGTGAAATAACACATTTTACAGCTATGCAGGTAACAACTGAACACTTTGCGTTGCTACAAAAACAAATTGACTAGAGAAATAAGCAATACAACATGAAATGCTACAAAATACATGTTTTTCTTTGCAAAGGAGTGAAAAGTACAACCCTCCAGCATCTCCTGTTTTCATCATCAAGCTTTTTCCCGATGTCCATAAAATCCCTAGCAAGCAGTAAATCATTATGCAACCAAGAAGCTGTAAATACAATTGTTTCTGCAGCTTTTCATCATCCTTTGGTAAGCAGGTCAAAAGGAACTACCATGGCTGGAGAGGAAGATTTCTCTCTGCAGGGAGACTGTCACCCTGCTCAGCTTTGGCAAAACACGATTCTGCTATGTTTATTCTGCTTTAACACTGCAGACAAAACTGATACAGCTTCAAACAACATTTTAAACTTGAGGTTAAAATCATATATTTATTCCAGAATAGAAATCATATTTTCAGCAACTCTGTAGAGGACAATCCTGGAACAGTTACAGAAAAATGAGTTACTGCTCTAGTTCTTTGTTAATAATAAAAAAAAAGTCCTCTCTTCTCTCACTGTCACAGACATCTCTAGAGACATCTTGGCTTCAGACTGCCCCTTCTCTTCAGAGACTATTCAAGTGCAGACCACTCTGAATGCTCATACCTTAAGCCTGAGCACCAGCATGGCAGCAGGTTACATCCAGGACACCAGTATGTCACTCCACAGAGACATTACCATAGCTCCACATATAGAACCAAGCAGAATTTCTGTATTTTGTATCTGTAGTTCCAATAGCATTAATTACAATAAATTGATGAGTAACCAATCTACCACATACATGCAATTACAGCCACGATGTATGTTGCAAAAGAGGAATGCAGGCTGATTAGTAGCCTTTGCTATATATTTTTAAAAAGGGTTGTGATTACCAAAGGAATTGGCCTTTTTGAAATAAAATATGAAATGGGGCTGGAGGGTACAGAGCATAACTCTTCCAACCCAGGCTGGTTGCAGAAGGCACAGCTCACAGCAGCATGGGCTGCTGGCCCCAGGTCTCAGTGAGGGAATGCTGCCACTCCCTCTGGGGACTCTCACACGTCTCCTCCTGTCACACCGAAGAAGATTTTAGGATTATGGCTTTTTGCAGTAAATGTATTTGGAACCACAGCCTACCTCCAGCTCCCAATAACTGAGGGCAGGCAGGAGGCAGCACAAGGTAGACGTAACAGACCATGGGGTTTTTAAAGGTTTATTAACAGGAAATCCTTTGTACCTACACTCAAGAGTGCACAGAGTACCCAGCCTCACTGCACCCAAAATCCCTGAACATTAGGCTGAACTCCAACAGACCACGACAAAAAGAGATATCTCTGACTGGGTGAACTGTATATCCAAAAATCTTTTATAAAGTCAATGGTACTACCACTGATCTGTGATAAGAGTTCAAGTATTTACCACTGGTTTTGTTGAATGTTAGAATTAACCTCATTGATTACATGTTTTTATTCATAGGACAAGAAGACACAGCCTCAAGTTGTGCCAGGGGAGCAAGCACTGGAACAGGCTGCCCAGGGAAGTAGTTGAGTCGCCAGCTCTGGAACTGTTCAAAAAATGTGTACATGTGGCACTTAGGGATGTGGTTTTAGTGTTGGACCTGGCAGGGCTGGGTTAATGGTTGGACTCAAGGGTCTTAGAGGTCTTTTTCAACCTAAACTATTCTATAATTCTATACCAACTGGGAATTCTTACCTGCAAAGACATTTAAATCCTTAGTAACTCCTTTGCAAAGAGTCACTATAGAGCAAAATTTCTGTTTGTTGGTTCTACAGTTCTGGTTTTGTTGAGAAACCACCATTTCAAGTGCTATTTGGGATATTTGGACTCAGAGCTGTATCACCTGCCTGCCACAGGCTTCAAGCCATCCATTGGCCATGATTTCGTCAAAACAATTCCTGACCCCAAGAACTATTTAATTTCCCCATGGCCAAGCAAAGATTACCTGCTCTCCGTGTCGACTTGTGTGCCCACTCTCAGCACCAGCTGAGGACATGGCTGTGCTAATCCCATTCCCTACCCCTTCTCACTGTGTCCCAGGTCATCCCTTCTGCTCTGGGCATGCTGGCTCCCTGACCTGGCTCCCTCAAAGTAACCCCCCAGGCGAAGTGAAACACTAGAAGCAGAGTCTTAACACCCAAAACTGAAGTTCCCATTCAGGCCTATGCAGACACCAGCTTAGAGAGTAAAAAAAATTCAAATTAGAGGTTTTTATCCCTTTACTGTGAATTTGAGATGTTTCTGAGCCTTTCAATTCAGCAAAACATTTTGATATTTGGACTTTTTCGTTAGTTTGGGCTGAAAGCAATGTTGAAATTGCATTTCCCTCAGGAAAGATTCTACTCTTCAGTCCTTTCTAGATATTATTTTAATCATGACTCTTTAAATAGAGTGAAATGGCCTAGCTAAGCATCAAACTGGGAATTGTTAGAGCAAGTACGCTCTGACTGCTTCTCCATTTCTAAAAAATCTATTTACAGGGTTGCAAAGGTATTTGCTTTTATACGCAACCAGTGTTTCTTTCTGCTCCCACAGCAATTTTGCTCTATAGATGAACGAGTGCTTTAGGAAAGAGAAAATGGAAATACTTACTTTCTGCCCTTAGAATTAGTTTTCAAACTTTGAAATGTTCTCAGTCTTCTGTTTATAAACAAGAAATGGTACTGGGTTCTTTAAGACCTACTTTCATTTTACTGGGAATATCTCATGTTCCTTTTGACTTTACTAGAAAGAGGCCTCTGAAATGCTTTCATAATCAAATGTTTTATAGCTTAGATTCAAAACATATCTAGCTCCTGCTTCTTGTGGGACCATCACTAAGTTATAAACCACACAGACACTTGGAATCAAAGCACTTCAATGAAGCTGGGCCCAGTTCAGCAAAACACTGAATAATGTATTTTTGGCTCACTGAGGACAATGGGAATCAAACAGAGGCCTGAAGTACTATAGGTCTAGATATACTTAACCACACACAGCACACAGCTAAGTACATTTTCCTGTAAGCTGCCTTGGCTCATTTGCCATTCCTATCCAAAACAGACATTCTCAGGAAACAGAAAAAAAATTTTGGTCCTCGTATCTACATATTTTATAGAGTTTGAATACTTGAACTTCCACATCTGTTATGCGACTAGACCGAATAAAAGTGGTTTCTTAATATATCTATGAATGTGATATCTGTAAAGAAATGCCATTTACCATGTAAGAAAGGAACTGCTAAAAACTCTCCTCTGTCCCAGTTATTTCAGATCAAAGCTATACAGTGAAAACCTGTTAAAAGAGAACCATATAAAGCACAAACCTGTTAGGCAAATCAAAGCAGCCAGTGGTAAAATGATAAAATACTGAAATAACTATTTAAAAATTGCATCCCTAAAACTCTCAGCTAGATGAATACATATTTTAATACTGCTTGACAAAGTGTGGTGTCTCTCATTTTTCTTCTACTACATGGTATGAATAAAGAAATTATTTTCAGGAATGAATCTGTTCACCACTGTGTTCATTTTTCTTTGGCATATTGATCTCAACACTCCATCCTTCTGATGTGAAGAAAGTTAGTTTTATGCACAGAATTTTGAAGTTGGAACCTAAGGCTTTATTTACCCACAAGTCATAGGAACTGTTTCCCTATCATTCTTGTATCCTGGTCCCTAATCCTGATTCCAGACAGGAATGTACTGGAGATGGCACACAGCAGCCCCCTTTGTCATCCTACCAGTTATTTGTTCAGTAACTTCTAAAGATTTGGAAACTTCTGTATGTTCTCTGAGGTACAGGAAAGTCTGCTTTTTCCTGAATCTAATCAGAAGTATCATTTTAGAAGCTGTATGTGACCATTAAATCATTAACTAAATATTGTAACTATATTTCAATATTAATAATAAGCAATTATGTGCTCTATTCACTAATTTTAAATAATGTAATAATTTAAATTTCATAATATATTTTTAATTTCCATAAAATATGTAGGTTCCTTATTGGATGTGAACAGATTTGATTTACCAGTTGATAACCCAGCTCATAGCCTTTCTTCACAATTAGGTCTGAAATTGAATGAGCAAAGAAAGGAGGAGTGTGATTCTCAGAGGCAATTCTTTCTAATAAAAACGTGAAAGAACAGCATGTATTTCAAGCAGCATTGTGATCCAACACAATGCCAAACAGCAAAGTTCTATCACATCCTGGTTCCCTGTACATCACCCCTGCTTTACATGTCCTGTCTTTCTGTGAGCATGTATGACGTGTTCCATGAGATGTGTGCACAAGGTGCCTCATCACCTTTTATGGTTCTGCATCCCAAACTGCACAGTGCCAGTAATTAGGTACACAGACAACTGCAAATTAGATCTCCTATATTCACAAGAAAAATTATAAGGAGGCGACTTAGAGACAGGATAGCACTGAAAGATCTGAACTCTAATTCCAGTATTAATCTCATTTAAATTGGATGACTTGGAATGCCTGCTTCACCAAAAAAGTGAGTCAGGATTGAAGAGTGAGTTGATTTATTGATTACTAATTAATAAATGAAGACTCAAGTCCACCTTTTGTTGTGATACAATCTCTACACATCAGCATATTACAATTGTACTCTATACTGAATATAAATTCAATATACTGCATATTCCAAGTATTAGTGTACAAAATAATCACCAAGTTCTCTAGAGTTATCAATCTAATTTCAAGACAAGCTCGTTACTACCACTACTCAACTGACATCAGTGGCAGTGGTTTATTAAGCTCACCTGAATGAAAACATGGGGTTTCTGTCCACCTACACATACTCACATACAAGCACATTTTCAGGTAAAAACTACTTGTGTCCTCTGTTCTCCTCAAACACGAGCTTTGTAGCAGAAAACAGGCTCTTCCCTTCTCCCAGTAGAGAAAACTATTGGTTCTCTTGCTTCACCACTTCATCTCCTCTTCCAAACACAAACTTACATTCAGCTTCATCCAGTTTACTCATTAATTAAATCAATTAAAAATTACAGGTGTTTTCACATGACTCTTGGGAAAATCAAGCCTATAAAGACAATGTGTAATGCTTAGATTAATAATCTAATGCATATATGCAATGCATATAAGTACTTCACAAAAATAACCAGAAGAAAGATCACTCACACATTTGCTACTTGCAAGTCACCTACAATTTTCCATGAGAAATCTGGTTTTTTTGTTATTACTGTTAGTCTTATGTTCCTTTTATCACCACAATAAACTGGCTTTGCCAGGAAAACTTTATCATTCTGTGTCTGCTGGCCATAGCAGAAAAACATTTCACTTCTACAGGATGGAAATGTGCTTGTTTTCAGGTCAAACAATCAGTTACACAGCAACTCTTGCACCTCCATCCACCACTGCTGGCCTTACAGTAACTTTCCCTGCAGTGGAACAACCCCATCAGGCACTTTTGTTATCATAAACCCATACTATGCTTAGCATAAATAATGTTAACCACACACTTCATTTTCTAGTAACTTATTAGGTATGTCATGTTAGCTAATCTGCCATAAAATATTCATCCCCCTAAAGGGATTAAAAGAATGACATGCTGCTGTTGTGTAAGCGTGAACTAGAAAAGTGCTGATTTCCCTGACAGGCCTGGGTGGCTTTTGTGAGTTCAGCCACATTAACGCATGGAAAGTAGAGGTTCCGTGCTCTACTGAACATGTCAGTCTATCCCATTAAAATTATCTATGACCTTAGTCAGTAAACATAAGTACCTTATCCTCCTGCCTCTGATCTTAAAAACATATTCCATTGGACTTCATCTGGGGAAAGACTGGACAGGAGGTTGAGTAAGCATAACATTAATCAGAACCCATTCTGAGTCTCTGTGTGTTGCATTTCTTCCTCTACCATTAGTAAATCCCTATTATTTGTGTCAGATATGTAAGCAAATTTTAATCTAGAAAATTGACTGAACACCCTGGTATTTCTATTCCTTATGCTATAAATAAGAACAGTAAAAGAACCGATGGATACGGGGCACATTCTCCTTCTGGTAGATCCTGGATATTAAGGACAGTAATTTTCTTAATGATATGGATATGTGTCATACTGGCTATTTTCACATTTTAGGTGTCAAAATGATTAAAATAGATACTTTTGAAGAAGGAATTAGAAGTCCATTTGCTAAGATGAAGGCACTTAGCATTCCTGTCATATCATATTTTGTTAGGAAGACCAGTAAAGAATAACAACTGTTAGACACTGTTCTTATTTCAAAACTTAAAAATATTATCAGTTACTTTTCCATCTCAAAAGACTTTGGAGTTCCTAAAATTCTTTCAGAGGAAGTCGTGAAACAGCTTCTAAGAAACCAACCTTTTTCTTTTCCAATCCTGTCACCATTGAACTTGAAAGGGAAGAGGTTATGTTGTGTCGTGGGAGTCTGACACCATATGTGCTTCCTGTATAAAACACAGTTCCATTTGGGATTGATTTTCTAAACAAATAGTGCAGATAGTGTGATAAGCTGTAAGCACATCACCCACTGTTTGAATAATTACTTACAAGACAACATTTCTGTCCCCCACTGTTCTCACCAGTCCTCAGTAAGGCAGAAGGAAACTTGCAAACCCCTTCTGACTCTATTCCCACAATTATAAACCCTCAAGATTAAAGAGTTGGAGTTTTTTACCCACTTGTGTGCCCACTCATTCATCCCACCTCACTAATGAGCCATGTGGAGGATGCAGCCCAAGCCAAGACTATCTTTCTGCGAGATTATCTGTAATGCTACAACCACCTCCCAAAAATGCCAAAAGAAAGCATATCTTTAAGTCTCTTCCACTGGGTTGTGTGCGTATGCAGCTCTCATTGAAACTAAATGTCTCAGATAAGCCATGCAAATAACGCAGCCGCTTTTTCTATCTCTTGAAAAAAAAAAATTACTGTTTTCATTTTGCAGGTCTTGTGGTTAAAAGCCATCCTTGAATCTTCTTCCTTGCAAGCAAGGCAGATGTGCAGAATGCTTGGGGGAATGCAGAGGTTTTCTCTGCACACATGTTCTTCCCAGAAGTAAAGAAATATTTCTGCCCCAGGATGTCCATGCAGAGCTCAGCCTCCTCTGCACTACTACTTGAGACTCCTCTTATTTCAGAGCTGTGGATATTTCTGGACTCTGCTGGATTTGATTGAGTCCCTTTTTAATCCTTTCCATAGGCCATAGGGAGCATATTTTATACATCACTCCTGTAAATTAATTATGCTAACAGATGAAGGGTGGAATCATATCAAAGAGTGTGCACTGTACCTCTGAAATCACCTGAGCCTAAAGACCCTTTTCTTACACAAAATAGGGTCTCTGTTTCTGAGAAAGCCTGAGGCAAAACCCACAGGACTGCTGGGGATAGATCCCACTGGCTTCCCTATTCTTTAAGGTGGTGAAGAAGTAGTGCCAATTCTGCAGCATTGGGAACACCCCATAGAGCCACTTTTTTATACCCTGCAGCTTCTGGTTCCATTGTCAGTGTTGGTGCTGCCACTCTCTGCTTCCTTAGGGTTCCCTTTTCTCTACCTCCACCACCCATCAGCACATGCCAGATCACAGCATTTACTTTTAAATCCTTTCAAATCTTACCTTGTAACAGATAATCTTGCTGTGGTCATCAAGTATCTGCACTGATCTTGGTATCCACGTGGCCAGGCCAACACAGCAGATGCTGGGCTGTGCTAAATCTGTGAGATTGCATCTGGCCAGCCCATTTCCACGAACCTCAGCATTTAGTACATGTAACTACTGTTTTAAGGGCAACTCCATAACATAGCTTTTGAAATTACTTTTTCCAGATACAAGGGTTTCCTTAATAATATGTACCATTTCAAGTGTACTTTCTTTTCAAGCCGGAGTCTTGCACAACCTTCCTCTGCATCAGCACTATTTACTTTTTTCTGCATGCCAGGGAAACAAAGCAGAAAGGATAAGAAAGCTGGTGTAACTAATAAAACAAGTAGGAATAGCGTAGCACAATTTATCTTCTCTGATAGGAAAAAGTCTCAGGAGAGAGTTAATTCTTGGGGGGTAGTGACCAGTTCACTTTTCCTCCTAAGGCTTTTCTCACATTGCAGGAGAATTTTACAAGACAAGAATGAATCTTTAGTTGAACTTTAACTACAGGGCATCAGACTACAAGCTGAAGGAAATGGAGAAGTAACATGACAACACTGTCAGTTCTTTTTGCAAAAGACCTGCAGCATCTCATTGCAAATGGGATGTCAATCCTGTAATTAGCAATTCAGTCAGTATTAATTGTGTGTGTGTTACTTCCCATCAATCACTGTCATTTCCATGTAGTCAGGATGTTTTAGAGAACCTAATTTGTAAACAATGTGCAAAAGTTTAACCCACTTTTAATTAACATTGTCAGACCTGGCACATAACCTTCCATGAATACAGATAACTGGGTGCAATTGTGTTTTGGCTCCTAAGTAGGGAAAGGGAATTTTTTAGATTTTTTTTCTCTAAAAATACACTTTTAGTAGGACCTATCTTAGTAGGTCATAAGGGAAAAACAAGCATGCATTAAAGGCCATTAGTCCACATGTAAAACCATTGTAACCAACCTGTAACACATACTTGCTTGTCAAGAGTAACACAAAACTGGAAGAGTCAGGAGAGAGACAGTTAAAGGCACAACTCATTCCAGAAATTCACATTTTATGAAGCAATATCTATTCTTGATTTAAGATGTGTCCAGCGAGACATAATCCATGGTTTCCCTGGCAAATGGAGGTCCAATTATTAACAAAAGTATTGAATCCTCTGGCTCTTAATTTATCAATTTCAAACATCAGAATTCGCTTTATTTTCATCTGACAGATTTCAGAAATCCCTCCGTAGGAAAATTATATTTGTCATATATTATGAGAACATATAAATTATATTTCTCATATAATGACTGCTGAAACCATCCTTTCACCTTAAATTTGATAGATTAAGTAGACTGAGCTCCTGGAACTCTTCCTCTTTAATAACATTTTTTCCTATGCTTTAATTATTCCACTGGCTCTTCTCACTGGTGATCAACAACCTTGTTGAATTGTGAACATTAGTCTTCCACTGGGAGACCTCTGAAAGTGCCAAATAAAACAAAACTTCTATTTAATATTCTCAGGATTACATTAAAACCTTTGCTGCAAATTGCATTCTTTCTCTCCTATACCATAACCATTTCTGACTCAAAATTAATCGCTCATCCATTGCTTGTGAGCCACTTAGATCCTGTGCTTAATATGGGCAGTTGCTTCCTTATTTATGCTGCTCACTGTGAGATTCATAAACACCGAAGTACAACAGCCATCAGAAAATTTTTCATGTGTCTAAAAGAATGTCATGAAATGAAATGAATCACAGACTGTGACTCTGTCTTCAGCTGTCTCCTCTAGAGAGCTCAGCCCAGACCACAAACTGGAACACTTGTGTAAAGCTGCCAAAAATGCAAATTCCAAACTGGCTACCAGCTTTTCTTTCACTTAAACCTAAATTTAATCTAAAAATCATATACACTGTACATCCCAGGCACAGTTTGCACAGTTTTCAGGTCAACTATCTGTTTAAAAGTCTATCTCTTTAATAATGGGTTATTTTTTAACAGAAAGTATCTGTGTATAAAAGTTGGCAGAAACAGAGGGACATCTTTTCACACATGGCACCTTATGCCCTTTTCTTATCCCCATTTTGGACCCACAAGTCACCAGGTCAGGAATGCTGCCTAGAAATGTTCACACCTCACCACGCGGCTTCGAAGACAGAGTTAAATTGATGCACTTCACTGGTCCTCTAAAACCTGGGACTTTCATTTTAGCATGTGTATATTTGCTTTTGATAATCCAGCAGACATGCAAGGACCAAAAGCTGTGCTTTATGTCTGCCTAAAGTCTAATGGAGGTACAGTATTCATGGACACCATTGCCATTATTGCTAATAGGAAGGTGTCCATACAAAGGAGACCACACACCCCAAGGACTTCAGCGTTTAAAAGCTTTCACCAAGGCCCTGAACTCTGAATTCTTTATGTGCACATACAGTGTTCCCTTGATTAAATGGTCAGTACAGCACAAATGAAAAGAACATGAATTTAAGATCAGGAAAACTATCAAAGCACATGGGACAAAGTTAGAATAAAGATGCCCTGAATATGCTCACAAAAACAAAACTGAGATTTGAAATAGGATGGCTACAATCAAACTAACCAGCTCCCACAAAGCCTGATGACTTTTTCTGTTACCTGCATCTGGAATACATGTGTTTCATATCAACACAACTGATTTTGTGCCATTTCTCCAAAGATTCTTTGCAGAATGAACAATCTTGTCAATCATGCATGTAGCTCATGGATGAAAAAAGGATAGGAAGAGTCTTCCACCAAAGGATACAAACTATCCATGTTGATACCTTAAATTACATTCCCATATATTCTAGGATGAAAGACACACAAAATAAAACTTTGTATCACATGAGTAAAGGTTTTACTCACCTTCCCACCCAGCAGATAGGAACATATTTAATTTACTTATATCTTCTGTATTCTGATATGCATTTATATTTTACACTGTTTTTTACTGTTACCTATAAATATCTACTGACTTAGCTATAAAACGCTCTTATAAGCTTTGAAATCTATTTAAAAATATGGATGAAATAATAGAGGAGATGGCTGTACCAAAGAATAAAATTGAAAAGGCTAACAAAGTTTTGATGTTTAGGGGACTTATGGACAGCATTCATGGGAAGAAACAGGATTTATCAGCTCAGTAATTTACTGTGCATAATTTTTCCATTGGAGGTACTACAGCAAAACAAAAGGGCCCCAAGGAAGCCCAAGAAAATGTTGTTTGAGATTCTGGAGTCATTGTTTAGGAAGATACTTAACAGTGTTGTTGGCTCCCGGCATGATTAATCTTATTACTTTCAATGGAAATATTCACATCCTTCAATTAGGCTTCCTGGAGTATGTTTACCCAAAATAAAAGGGGAAAGAAAAAATCACTGCCTTCCAAAGCATAAATTGTTCACAAAAGTCTTTAAACTAGTATTTTGTTGTTACAGTTTCCACAACTGGCTGCCTCAAAGAGCACTACAATGCAGCAATCTGACTCCCCTCAGCTTAAAGCAACCTATCATCACTCCTTTTATTTTTTGCAAAAGTTTTTTTGTCCATTCTGACTGGATTCCCTCCATACATCCTGTTTCTCACTTTGGTTTTTTTCCCTTGGGGGGTGGATCTCCACTGAGCATTAGCCTTCTCATGATTCACATGCAACAGGAGACATTTTACAGTGACATAGGACAGAAAAGACAATATTTATTAACTGCTCAGCATACAGCACCTTAAGGTCCCTAGGTCAGAAGAGACAAGCAAAGACTTACGTTAACTTTTCTTCTCCCAAAGAACAGTTTGTGATTTAGTCTCTCCATGTGCTTGTCCATCAACTCAGCACTGCACTTCAGGCTGCTCTTGGAGAGATTTCTTATGTTCCTCACTGCGTACCAGCAAATATCCCATCATGGTGTGGCTGTTGTACCTTCATGGGGACATTGCTCATTTTAAAATGGTTCTTGGAAGTTCACTTAGATTTTTCCTTTCTGACCAACAGCTCAAGAGAGACATTACTCCTTGTGGTCCTGTTGAGATACAACGCAAAAGTAAATGAGTAAGAGCATCAGGCACATTTTTAACAAAACAAAACACAAGCATTGGCTGTTTCGTCACAGCTGCCACTTCCCCTTGCAGTAATTCCCATCTCTTTGAAAATATTATGGTGAAATTCTGTCCTTCTGAAATTCTGGGCACTTTGAAGGAGTCAAGACTTTACACAGGTTTGTTCCCTTCACCCCCACGTATCGATGTCTGGTCATGAGCATGTTACTAAGTGAAAAGCCTGGTGCATACTTGGTTTTTGCCCTGGTTTGCTGGATCCACCAGCGGAACTGTGATACCACCTCTGAAAACATTTCCATGCTTCTACCCTCTGCTTCAAAATTAGGAAAGTAGGTTTTGTTCTTTTGTGGGTTAGAACACGTGCTCGTCCACAGGCGACAAAAATGCTGTTTCCAAATTGCTCATCTCAGAAAGGAATATTAGAAATCCACCGGGCCAAATTCTTCCTTGAGTTCAGATTAAACTCTGCAAGATAGAAACGTTGTCATTCTGCTCCAGGTGTAAAGACAGCCTTCCAAGAAACTAGAGGCCTCACCTAGAGCATAATAAAGTGGAAAAAACACTATGAAAGTGTCCTGGAAATTTGTAGCCACTGCTTTACACAGAAGTTGTGATGTTAATAATCCAGTCTCGCACATACAGCCGAGCGACGTTCCACAGCGCTTTGCAACATTTCTGCTTCAACAACCTTGTCTGCGTCAGCTAATGTTGACACAGGAGCTAACAAAAAAACCTCTTTTAAAAGCAGAGGTCTGTGATTAGTTTTTTGCATCCAGTTGCACACACAAACACAATAACAGATGGGAGATTACTAAAGAGCAGCAGAGAATGAATTTTCCATGTCATTATCTTTCAGAGATGAGAAGTACAAAACAACACCTATTCTATTACACGTCTGGCACAATGGGCTTCTGTCTTTGGGCCAGATGTGATCTGTTTTTAAAGGAAAGTGGAAATCTAATCAGAACGGACTGTGGAGAGGTTGACCTTACACTCATCTGAGTTTTCATTAAAGCAGCTACCTAAAGCACTTGATATGTTGTAGGCTGCAGCTGTCAGCTTCCAGAGCTACTTCTGAGATCCCTAAAGAAGAATTAATTGCAAGGTAATGATTGCAGCAGTGCAGATACCACAGCTTGCTGTTCCATTACAAGAATAACCTTTTAATTATCAACAGTTAAAAGAGGCCATTCCTATGGACGCTTGGTCAAATTCTAGGAATTGTTAAGTTCCCACAATTCCCATTAATTTCAAAGGACCTTTCCAGGATTTATCACCACTCAGGATTTCACCCAGTCATGGTAATTGGATTTTTTAAACCGATACTTTCTTCTGAAGTTTCAGACATCCAGCCAGACCTGCTGCCAGACACCTGATAAGGTCATTTGCTTTTTTTTTTTTTTTTTAAGTTGAATTTGCTCTTTAAAATTGTTTACTTTAAACAGTTTGCAGGCCTCTATTTACAAATACCTTATATTTAAGGACATCAACATATTTCATCTTCTAGTTTTGCCCTTCAGTATGCAAAATTACTTGAGAGGGTGTCACAAAAAGAACTGAGTACAGAGTATTCGCCAGCTCATCTCCTCTCCCAGTTAAATTCATAGCTTTGAGAATCCAGACCTTTCCCTTGATCTGACAGGTAGCAGAACAAAGCACTTGTATTTTAAGTGTTGTCTGTCATGTTTTATCTCAGAAAGACATTTACATACTTCAACAATGCCAAGAACACAGGCTTCCAAATTCATATACAAAATGGAAGCATTCATTAATCACCGATTAACTAGGCAGCAATCCAGAAGAGCAGCTTGCTCTAAGAGCTTGATACCAACTGAACATCCATCAATAGATTTCTAATATATCTGAGAACATTTTGTAGTCCTAAAAATTCCAGCAGCAGAAATGTCAAGAAGACATTGCAATAATGAAGAATTATTTGTTATTACCGCCAAGGAGTTAATATACTAATGGATATCTACTTTATTCTTCACTTGTAAGATAACTGATTGTTAATGCATGTTTTTATGTGGGAACATTACTCAAACTCCTAAACATGACATTACCCTTAACAAGGATATTCTGACACTTTGCTGAGTAGAAACACTGTAGTGTAGAATAAATGCTACCCGTTGTTTTATTGCAGCATTGCAGTTCTGCAGGGAGTTGTGTTAAAAGTCAATGTCTCTTCAATACTGAGTTTCTAAATTAAGATGTATACTGTAACTGATGCAGAAACATAAGAACATGCAACAAGAATTTAGTTTTTCTATGACACAAAAAGGCTCAAAGTAGATGGAATGATCACCACTGTCACTGTAGATCCTTTAGCATCAAGTACATTAGTCCACAGTGGAGGCAGCTGGGCCTAACCAAGAAACACAAGATTGTCCATATAGGTACAACTGGCATAACACTTTTGCCAGATGCATCGTGATATCTACCTCTTGAACAGGTCTGTGGCTTCATTTTTCACCAAACCCTCTCTCTCGGACAAACCAAGCCACTGACATTAAAAAAGGTTTCTCATGCTGTCTCTAACACCAGCACTTCACTGCTGCCTAGTGGTAGCTAGGAGCATAAAGTGTTCACCAGAAATTTGCCCTCAGTCTTCCCATCACAGAGACTGGTACAGAAATGTCCTAAGTTACTGATGCTACAAGGCCAGGAATGAATGGGTCATACCTGGAATAGTTCTTAAGAAAACACACTTTTTCTGGCAGACCCACCATGTAGCCCAGTTTGTGCATCACAAACCACCTGCATCACACACCAGCCTCACAGGACAATCCAGTCCATCCAATAGTGAGGAAAAACAACTTTTTTCTCCAGTGAGAAACAACAATAACTGCCAGCAAAACAAACCAGTAGGTTTTTCAGCCCTGCTGAAATGACAGACAGCTCTGCAGGGGCATCTTTGTTAATCTTCAAAGCTTTTCAGAAACACTGAATAATCTTCATATTCCTCCTGTGGGCAGGAAAGTATTAGTACCTGCCAATTAAAACCATGACAGAAATAGAGGCACAGAGAAGCTGTAAGAGCACAGCTCACATGTTCTGAGCGACTAAGACTGCCCACTCATTCTTCAGCTAGAGAACATTTTGCTTCATTTGAAGTTCTGTGGTTTTTTCCTTTGCTTTGCTAAGAGCCAGCATAATTGGTATCAAGATGGGGTTCTTGCTCTTCCTGGCTCCCCAGTACAGTTGATGATAATAAAAAGGTAAGGAGATGAAACAAAAGGCCCTGAGCAGCTTTTGGAGCATCAGCTCTGTTTTGCCAGTATTTTAAAAACTCACAGATAAAGGTTGTCTGGCTGAACGTCAAAGAGGAACTCAGCTGGGCCTTCTCTAGAAACGTGGTGAATCCATCGCAGTTCAAGAACAAAGAATAAAAGAAGAAATGGAGCATCCTCACTTCTGAAAATTATATCCATAAAGATGCTCCAGCAAACTGCCTTCTGCAGTAAAGGGCTTTATCTGCCTCCTTCTCACCTTCCACAGAGATGACTCAAGATGCGTTGTGACAATTCAAATTGCATCAGTACTGAGGAAGTACATGAGAATCCTTAAAGTTTCCTCCTGGCTGTGATATTTTGAAAGATAAAAAAAGATGATAACTGTGTGCAATCCACAGTTCAGATAATCTCTGGTCTCTCGTGCCAACCTGCGGTTCGGAAAGAGACAGTGGTTAATAGACACATGTGAAATCTTGCCTGCCATTTATAAGGGAAGGAGGGGAACAGGGAGAAGGGAATAATTTTTCACTGTTCTATCCAGAATCACAGTCTTTGCACATATGGAAAAAAAAAAATTTGAAAGTGGAAGTCAATTTTGGCTGCATGAACTGTAAATTCTGCCTCACAGCAGGAAAAAAAGAGTAAGAACTGAGACTCACCTTCATCTGGTTTACAGAT